TACTCTTCCCCTGCCCAGTTATGATACTTGACATATACTAACTAGCATATGTGTTGAACTAAGAACAGTAAAAAGATATTAAAATTATTATTTTTGTAAAGGGGCTAATTTAAAAATGAACTAAAAGCCATCTTGAAAGAAAAAAAGAATATTATATTTTAAAGGAATAAAAATCATGGAATCCTTGAGCTGGAAAAGGAGTGACAAACACTTAGCTTCTTTAGCCCAATTTTCACTTAAAATAGAACTATAACTTTCTAAACAGATTCTAAATCAAAGTGACAAAATGGTAGCCCAAAGGCTGAATGAAACCCAGAAGAATAGAGCCCAAATATATACTTTGGCCAATTTTTAATATTTAATAGAATTTTAATGCCTTTAGAGAGGACATGCACTCTCTATTTTGCCACTGCACATATAGGTTAGCATCATGGCACCTAAATAAATGTCAGTTTATAGCCATATCACTCTGAATGCGCCGAATCTTGTCTGCTCTTGGAAGCTAAATGAATTTCAGTCTTTGAATTTGATCATTGTTCTAGATCATTCTAATGATAAAACCTTTTTGAAACAGGAGTTTATTATTCTAAAATATCTATGTCCAAGTTAGAGAAAATATTTCTTAATAAAGCTGAATTTTTAAAAGATCGCCACCAGTAGATATAATAGTAATACAGTTGTACATTTAATAGTATACATATATGGTTCATTTAAGAGAACTACATTTATCTGAAAAAAATTACGATAATCTCGAATAATTTGGTTTCATATGGAGATAGTTCACTTTAGTCTGTGTATAGAGGGATGGCAAGGCCCATAAGTAGGACCTATTTCCTACCTGGTCATTGTTCAAAGAGGGTAGAGGAAGCCATGAAAACCTTAGTTTTTCTGCTACTGTTGAGGCTCACTGATCTGGAGTTTTGTCAGTTAAAGCAGCAATCTTGGTGACAGGCAATGATCTAGCCAGGATTTAATAGGCAGTTCTGGGAAGTGATATATCTATGGGGCATTGATAAGCTCTCCACATATCCTGGGACCCAGGTCACACAGGACAACAGAGCCCATGTGCGTATATTGAATAGGAGACAGGAGAGGATTCAGCAGAAACTAAAATCTATGGCATACTTGAAAATGACCTTAACTTTAAATACACTCCTTAGACTACATCCAGATCCATTACCATAGAGTAAATATCTTACTAGTTTGAGGTGTTAAAGCAAAATTTATGACCAACTGTTGGTTGAACATTAAACTATGCAGAAACACAAGAAAGTCAGGCTAATAAAGAAAAAAACACTGAGAAAACACACCAGTGACCAGACATTGCTAAGGAGACTAACTTTACAGATTTAGTCCAGGCAAGTTACTACACAGAGAGATAAAATAATAACAATCACTATAGGAGGCAGATATTAGAATCAAGGGTTGCTACAGTATATCACCCAAAACATCTAGTATTCAACAAAATTTATAAAACACTCCAAAAAAAAACAAAAAACAAAAAACAAGGTCAATCTAAGCATACTCAGGAAAAAAAGCTGTCAATTGAAGCTATCTCTAAATGGCCCAAAATGTTAGGCCTATCAGGCATTGATTTTTAATGCAACCATTACATACATGAAATAAACAGAAAACACTGAATTAATGATAAGGATAATACTCAACAAATAGAAAAATCTCAATAAAGAGAAAGAACAGTTAAAAATAAGCAAAAGGGAATTTTAGAGTTGAAAAGCATAATAACTGAAAAATTAACAAGAGGGGCTCAACAGCAGATTTAACATGACTGAAAAATAAATCAGTGAATCTGAAGATCAATAGAAATTTTCCAATCTGAAGATCAGAGAAAAAAGCAATTGAAGAAAAATGAACAGCACTTCAGAGACACTTTGTACAACATGTGTCAACACATGTACAACACATGTACAAATATATAAGTAATCAGAGTCCTAGAAGAAGGGAGAGAAAAGGGGAGTGAAAAAACATTTGAAGAAATAATGGCTAAAAAATTCCAAAGTTTGATATAAAACATTAATCTGCCACGTCCAAGAAGCTCAATGAAGCCAAAGCATAAGAAACAGAAAGAGAACCACACCCAAATATATCACAATAAAACTGCTATAAGTCAAACAAACAGAATTATCTTGAAAGCAGCAAGGGCAAAATGGCTCATGATGCACATGAAAACAGTATAATTAAAGGTTGATTTTTCATCAGAAATAATAGGGTCCAGAAGGCAGTAGAATGACACATTCAAAGTGCTGAAACTGTCAGTAAAAATATCTTTCAAAAATGATCATTTCCAGATAAACAAAGATTGTGGGAATTTGTGGCTAGCAGACTTGCCTTACAAGAAAAACTAAAGGAAGATTATGAGACTGAAAGGAAGTGATACCAGATAATCACACCAACATACAGGAAGAAATGAAGAAGGTCAGAAATAGTAAGTATGTGGATAAATAAAAGAATCTATGAAATATGTTTTCCCATTTATTAAGTTCTTTAAAGCACAAAAGATTGTGTAAAGAAATAATTCTTGCACTGTATTGTTAGGTTTATAAGATATATGTAAAATAGATAACAATAGCAACACAAAGAAAGAGGGAGGAAATGGAGATATATTGGAGCCAAGTTTATGTTTCACTGAAATAAAATACTTTGAGCAGTCACTAAAAAGTAGCTAAGAAAAAGTAACAAATTCTACAGAAGAATCAAAATGGCATGGTAAAAAATATTTTACACAAGACAAAAGGAGGAACAGGGTGGAGACAGATGAGACAAACAGAAAACAAATTGCAAAATGGCAGATGTAAAAGATGTCAGAAAGAATAATAAAAGATCAAGACCTAATTACATGCTATGTAGAAAGGATGGATCTTGGGTTGAAAGACAAACATATTGAAAGTAAAATGATGAGAAAAGAGCTGCAGTAAACAAGACAGTATCATACTGGCACAAGGACAGAAAAATAAATTAATAGACTAGAATTAAGAGTCCAGAAACAAACCGTTCTTTTCATGGTCATTTGATTTCTGACAAAAGTGTCAACACAATTAAATAAAAGGAACTAAAAAAAAATTAAGATAGGTATAGGAACTTAAGACCTTACCTAACACCTCATAAAAAATTAATTCAAAATAGACCATAAACCTAACTGTAAGAGCTAAAGTATAAAATTAGAAAAAACAGTCTGAGAAAATCTTTGTAATGTTGGGTTAGGCAAAGAGTTTTTATAATACAATAGTAAAAGCATAAGCCATTAAAAGTGATAAAAATGAACTTCACTAAAATTAAAAACTTTTGCACTTTAAAGAATACCGTTAAGAGGATGAAAAAATACCTACAGACTGAAGAAAATATCTACGGATTGTATCTCTGATAAAGAATTTGTATCTAAAATAAAGATTTTACAACTCAGTAAGATAAACAGTCCAAGTTACAAAAAAATGGGTAAGACATGAACAGACATTTCATAGAAGAAAACATGACTGGCTAAAAAGCATGTGACATGATGATCAATATAAAAAAAATCATTAGAAATATGAATATTAAAGCTAAAATGAAATATCACTACATATCCAAGGGAATGGCTACAATCTGAAAGAGAGATAATATGTGAGGACATAGAGAAACTAGAACTCTCATACAGTACAAGTGAGAATGTAATACAGCAACTTACAGAAACTTTATTGGTTTCTTTAAAAAGTTAAACTTGTTACATAATCAAATACTTCCACTCCTAGGGAAGTAGAATTTCTCAGTCCACAAGAAATAAAATCATATATCCACATAAAACATTATATGAAACTGTCCATATCATTGCTCATAATATCACGAAACTAGAAATAATCCAAGTATTCCTCAACTGATGACTGGATAAACAAAATGTGGTATATGCATAAAATGAAAAACCATTCAGTAATGAAATAATTGTAGACAATAATTTTAGATGGAATACCCTGAAAAACATATTAAGTGAAATAAATCAGGTGTAAAAGATTATAATACTGTATGTATTAGGCAGGCTGTATATATAAAAGCTTATGTATATTGTTCACATGCAAACACACATTGTACGATTTATATGAAATATCCAGAAAGGACAAATGTGTAGAGAATGAAAGCAGATCAGTGACTGCCTTGGGATGGAAGTGCAGACTGACTGCAAAATGGCTTATAAGGAATTCTTTGAGGTGATAAAAATATTCTAAAATTGGGTAACGGTAATGATGGTGGCACTGCTCTATAAATTCACAAAAAATTATTAAATTGTACATTTTCAGTGGAATAGCAAACAACAAATTGGTGAATGTTATGGATGGAAATTTTACTCCAATAAACCTGTTTTAAACAGGCTGTGGTATTCAATCTAATACAAAGAACTGTCTCAGCTTGAATGAAAAACATTACAAACCTACCAATTAAATCTGTTTCATATAAGGACCATTAAACATTTGGGGGAAAAACTTGCATAAAATTCTAGCTAATCTACTATTACCAAATCTGTTTTGTGAATCTAGGCTATCGCTTTAAGAAATAGGATGCTTTAACACGTCAATTAATGTAATTTGAGAAGCATTAGGCACCAGCTAAACTGATAACAAGACAATCACTCCTACCTCTGAAGTTTTAAATTTGATTTTAGCTGTAAGTTCCTTATTTTGACACTCAAATGGAAGAAAACTCAGTATACACATAGTATTATTAAATATAAAAAAGTCCCCAAATCATTTTATTTTTTGAAACAGTAAAAATAATGTAGGATTTAATTTTAGAGCTTTATTGACTATATAACATTTATGAATTTTTACTTTTTCACTGAACTAAGTCTGTGTATTTCAATGAAAGAAACCTTTTACTCAAACATTAAAAGCTTTCTGTGCAAACTACCATAGCCTGAAATTATATTTTGCTATTTGCTATTCCATTCAAGAAACAATGTAGTTATTGTACTGTATTATTTGTTCCTCTTTTCATGTGCTATATAATACAGCACTTACCCTGCTTTCTTCTAGGCTATCAAATGGACCCGGTGGATCATCCAAACAAAGAAATTCTCTCACTGCAAGGCTTTTCAAAGGAAAAAAAAATTATCTGAAGTACAAATAAGTTTGGAAAAGATAGCAAAAAGCAAAAGTTACTTTGAAGCTATACAGTGTTTTAAGCAAGCTGGTTATGTGTTTTCATACAACTAAATATAAATATAAAACTACAGAAGATGCAAAGATTTTAAGGTGTCTTCTAAGATCTTAGAACATAAAGATCACAAATGTATTGTTACATACAAACTATAGGACACAAAACATACTTCAAAATAATGGTTCAAGAGACCAACACAGTGAATAGCCTCCTTATGATTTTCAAAGAAATATTAGTCTGAACTAGTCTGTCATTATCCTTTTAAAAATAAATGCAATTTCTAATTTATACCTCACTTGTTTTTGTTTCAGTAGATGCTTCTGAAGTGACTGAAAAGCATTTACTCTCAAACAAGCTAAAGACTGACCTTGCAATCATATTTATTAATTTACTTATTTTCCTCGATAAAGAGAAAAAATTCTAACCATCCTATCTCTAAATGATTACAAATTTTAAAATAATAATGAATATGATATTATTATGCTTATACTTTGCTATTATTAGAGAAATAGGTTAAAGGGGTACATAACCAAACTTCCTTGTAATAAAAATGCCTCCCTGCCTTTCTATAAAGCAATTTTGAACTGAGAGACAACTCTGTGTACACATCATAACATAAATGTGCATAAATTTATATTTGATTTGCAAAATAAAAATTTTAGAAATTTCCTTTTACAAAGGATTTCTTTTCTTTTCTTTTTTTTTTTTTTTTAGGCACAGTCTCACCCTGATGCCCCGGCTGGAGTCTGGAGTGCAGTGCTATGATCTCGGCTCACTTCAACCTCCTGAGTTCAAGTGATTCTCCTGCCTCAGCCTCCTGAGCAGCTGGGATTACAGGCGTGAGCCACCCCGTCTGGCTGGGATTTCTTGATATACTACAAAAAGGGGATGTCAACTTATGCTGAAAAGGGAATGGGGCTTTTGGGTTCAGATTAGGCCAGACATGTTGATGATATCAGAAGGTGTCCATGAAAAGATAAATGGAATTTTACATATCCTGTTATATTTAATATGCTCACATAAGATTAGGATAATATTGGATCTCCATTTCACAAACGATACTGAACTTCAGAGACGTGAAATTACTTGCCCAATGTCAGAAAGTGCAGGTGGTAAGCTGTACCTTCCATCTGTTTCCTGAGTGTGAATATGTGCCCTTTTCTACCTTTAAATTCTTTGTCTTATGTTTTGGTTCATTTGGATTCTCCTTGCTGGATACTTTCTCTCTGAACACATTCGATTTATCTGTATCCCTCTCTAGTAGTGGCCTCTAGTAGAACACTGCAGCACTGCAGTTGGTCTGGTAACACAGAGTAGAACAAGGTCTTCTGATTTAGAAAGTATACTTCTATTCACCTACTGTTACAAATGACTCGTAGGAAATCAATTATCTGGGATTGAGAAGTCAAGTTTGCATGAAACCCTGAGAAAATAGCATTTAAGACTGAAAGCAAACTGCTAAGAAACGTAAGGAAGGGTCCTATATAATACTTCTGGTATACAATGTAAAACATTATTTTCTTACAGTTTTATATCCAAATTTCCTCATACTTTAATGCCATTTTTAAGTTTACAAATTAATTATTGGACTGTTGCTGCTAGGAAAGAAAAAGTGAGTAAAGGAGTACACATGTATGCCTTTTTATATCTTTGATTTACAGTAGCTATTTAGCCAAGATCAACAGTGAATGTTGACAGTGTATTCAGTTGGAGGAATCTTTTTTTGGAGTGTTTATTCTGTTACATTCACCTTCCCTAAAAATCTTTATGATCTATGGCTCACTAGAGTTCTACTTAAATGAAATTCAATGGTTTCTCTAAGTTTTTTTTTTTTTTCCATATAAGTCCAAGTTTATACTCTGTGCCTTACTTTCTTTAATCTGTAGCAGAATAAAATTTGAAACTGGCTTTACAATTTTAATTTACATAACACCTTTGCAGTGGCTCATTACATTTCCTCTGCTTCAACAAGATTCAGATGGTAAAGAAAACAGTCAATTATCCTCAAACTCTATTTCTAGCTAAAGAGAGGACACCTAAGAATCTCTGGAAGATGGCAGTATTTGAGAAAACAATTCCTTTCTTGTTAGAAATTCCGAAACATTTTTCCCCCTAGGAAAGGAAACCCTCACTTTTGCTTGAGAATCACTGACTACATAACTTTATTTAGGTACAATGAATACTTATTGATCGTCTATGTGTGCTATTATTCCTTTTATATTCTGGAATACATTTTTACTGTGTCTGGGAAAACTATTTTAAAATTGGGATCAGGTGTTGACTTAAATTGCCTAAAGGAAGAGAAGAAAACCACCAATGGTATCTCTCAGCATTGTTTTAATTACCAGAGCAAATCTGTACTACAAATTCAACTTTCTTGATTCTCTTGAAAAAGTTTTTTTTTAAAAAGTTTTACTGTATTTTCAAGCTATGCTCTTAACAAAATATTTGACTTTATTGAAAATTTTATAACTATCTGTAATTTAATTTCTACCAAACTAACATTTTATAGAAAAAATTATCTAACCAACCTTAGCAATGTGTTGATTTTCATGAGATAGCATCATATGAACTACTGCATATGTAACTGAATTCTTCTTTCGTTTTATATAAATACTAAGATAAACTTTTCTGAATATCTTAATTTTTTTTTAATTAAAAAAAATAAAAACTTAGAGACATTAATGACTGAATTTCCTGTGAAAAGACAGTTCAGGTTGCAAAGGTATAAAACAGTTATCTTTAAGAATTCTTGTCCTAAGTAGAGAATTATTAAATTTTACATATAAAAAAGTTACCTTTAAGAATTCTTGTTCCAGTTAGAGAATTACTTAATTTTTACAGCTAAAAGAGACCTAAGTTGTTATCTAATCAAACGTAAAGCATTTAATAATTCCCTCTTCGATACCACTGATAATTGTCTACTCTCTTCAAATAGTTAAAGAGAAACCTACTTTTTCAAAAGAGAGAACATTTTTATATTGGACAGCTTGAAATGACAGGTAACTTTTAAAAATCTGAGCTGATAGTGCTTTCCTCTATCTTTTCGCTGTTATTTTTATTTTATGTGTTAGTCTTGCTATTCAAAATGAGGTTATTAGACCAGCCAGTATCAGCATCACCTAGATACCTATTAGAAATGCAAAATCTTCAGCTCATCCTTGCTGAATCAGGGTCAGCATTAACAAATCCCAGGTGATTCACAGGCACACTACAGTTGGAGAAGCACTACTCTTAAATATATGTGATCCATCCTTCTTCCCAAAAACAATCTTTCAAATACATAAAGATGGCTATCATATCTCCCGAGTAGTTTTTAAAGGATACATATGCTCATTTCTTTCCATTGTTCTGTCATATTAATGCTTGGATGCTATTTTCTTTTCTTTAAAACCATGAACTGCTATTAATCCAGATCCAACTTGAACTTTTAAAAAAAATATGTATAATTAAAAATACTGAATTTTGGTACTGAAGCCCTTACAGATAAATGATGATGTGAAGAAAAATATATAACTTTAACTTTTGAATTTTTAAAAATTAAAAAGGAAAAAAATTAGCAAACAAGATATATGTGAAGTACTTCTGAAAATGGAGAATAGTAAAATATTTGTTGTGCTGATTAATGATGTAATAATTTAACAGTAGTTCAAGACAGTGTAAAACAAATAGCTATTTTTCAACTAAGATTGTATAATACAAGGCTGTATTCACTTTGATAAACTGACCTGTGTGTTGTTCCTGGTACAAGACCTCTACCTTCTTGCTTCTGCATTTGGATTACAATATTTCCTATCATTTCCAAAGTTCTTCTTCATCTTTCTTTGCTGGTACAATTATCACTTTAAAGTGCCGTTTAACTATCACCCTTTGCGAAGCCTTGTCTAATTTTCCTAGTCAAAAGTTCTCTCTTTTCCTCCTTTAAAAGAGATCTAATTTTCTATCCATTATGATTTTTTGGGTCATGTCTTCTTTCTATTCAGTTTTTTTTTTAATAGGATGAGTATCTAACTCATTTTTATATAGTCAAAATATCTTTTATGTAGCAAGCTCTAAATAAATATTGAACAGATAAAATCTCTAAAAATCCGTTTATCATGTAAATATTAATGTTTTCATCTGAATCCTTACTTTGAATTTTCTAAATAAATCTGAAAACAATATTCTATTCTCTTAAAATATTCAAATCAATAGTCCTTAATAGCCGTTCAGTTTGTATTTTCTTCCATTTCTGCTTTAAGAGTTGGAGAATACGTAACACTAAAAGCTGCCCATTATGTAATGGCAATTGCTTAGACATCAGGAAGTTAAGAAATAACTGTGTTGTAAGTTGCTAAGGATATAAAAATAAAAGCGAAAGAACAATTAATAAACAATTAATACTAATGTATAAACAATATCAAATAATTATTTGGCCAGCTAAAGTTAGTAAGTTTTTTCTATGTTGCCATTCCAACTGTACCAGAATGCTAACAGGCAACCCAACAGGTAATTTACAACTAAGTGATGTTTTTATGTAGTGATTCTTACACGCAGTTTTATGTTTTCATAAAGAAGTGTCGAGAGGTTGTCATTTTTTCTTTTCTCCTGTAGGAGGGATTTCCCCCTTTCCTTCCCCCCTCTTACTTTAGAAACTAAGATCTATTATCAGTACTTTAAAAATGGAGGATTCATTTATAGAATACATTTGATTTTAACTGAAAAATGAGAGAATCTGTTTTCACCCTTCTCCTACATTGTTGGATACAATCAAGCTTTTGTCTCATGTCTTATGCTCCACCTACCATTTCAATTTAGATTGCAGAGATAATTAAAATCTTGGCTATGCAGTACAACAGTAATACTGATGGAAGCATCACTGTAATAATATAGTCTGTGACACAGTGAGAATTAGGTATGTATTTTATAGAAGGAATAGTACTGAGGGATGAGAAGATAAAATCTCAAAAAATGTAGAAAAGTATTATGCTGTTTTTTTAATGGATCAACCATCAATTCATAAATATTTGGCAACCTCAGACTTTCTATATTCTTTCTAATTATTTGTTTCTGGCTCATATCCATCTTCCTACCCATAATCTTAAGCATTCCAGACTCTCAAAATCCCACTCTCAGTATTGCTTGATCACTGCAAACAGCACTGGTCTTCCCTCTTCTTTGAGTTCTTCTTACTTTTATAAACTGTATCATATCAAGTAGCAATTCATAAATGTCATTATTTTGTTCAAATAGGAGCCTAATTTCTCTAAATGAATTTTAAAACCAGTAAGTATACCCTCTCTTTTACACCCTTTGTTACAGGGCAAATGCATAAGATTTGCCCTGCGTGAATAACCCTTCCTCCTCTTCCCCAATGCATGTCTCAAACAATAAGAAATCTCTTACATTGTGATAGTGGGTACCAAGGCACAAGTACCCTGTTTTTAACTGAATTGAAGTTATCTTCCTACATTTCCTAAATATCTGATGATATCATATAACAAAAGCAGGTAGGCAAACAAATACGTACTGGAGTCTTTCATGCAAGATTTCTTAGAAGCTTTAATCCTCTAAGGATATCAAATGAAACCTTTCCCCAGCTTATTGGGCCAAGAAACCTTTCTTTCCCTAAAACGCCTATTTATGAATTGAGCAAGACCATTACCACTGTTCTGAGCTATGTAGCTTTAGAAATGACAGGATCTCAAATGGCTCTAGTAGTGTCTACTTTAGCAACTAAGACCTATTATCAGTACTTTAAAAATAGAGGATTCATTTATGGAATACATTTGATTTTTATTCACCACAATGTTTTAAATACAGAGACATAAAGGTTTACTGAACAAGGGACAAGAGAAAAGGGGAAAGGATATGTCAACTTCTTGATGGAGGTAAAAGTCATCTTTTATGGTATGCTATCAAACATATTTTCTTCCAAGGCTTTCTCTATAATTTTGGTTGTTTACTGGTTTTTATTCCTGCTTTGTGTGTCTGAATTAACATTAATCTTTTCTCTCTTTTGACGTGTAAAATATATATACACAGAAAAGTGGAGAGCACTAATGTTCTCACCACCTAGACTACATAATCGCTAACTCTGTCACAATGGCTTCAATTTTTTTTTTTTTCTAATACACAATACATCAGTGGATATCAACAGTTCTGTCATTCATTCAAGAAGTACTTATTGAGAACCAACTATGTTAGCACTATGCTAAACATTAGAGACTGGATGGTGAATAAAATAAAACAGCCACATGACCTGTTGTTATACATCTTACAATCTGGTGGGAGAAAGACAAATAGTGACAGAAATAATTACAAACTGAAGTGCTATGAAAGTGAAGTACCAACTAGGCTTTCTCAACTGGGATTTCAAGAGAGAACTGAGCCCTACTGATAATGATTTAAGTAATTATTGTCTCAATTCTATTGAGACTGGCACATAGCTAGTATCATCTTACGACATAGGAAATAAATTAATTCATTACCTACAATGGGTGTCTTAAAGCATCAGAACCAGTTGAGAAGGGAATGGTACAGACTCTATGAGAAATAACTGACCTAGTGTTTGGTGGTGGTGAAGGGTCTGTTAGGGGGCCAGTTACCTAGGGAAGTGAAATGTGTGTTGAAAACTGAAGGATGGGTAAGGTGAGGTCAGAGCTTGCTGGAGTAGTAGTGTGAAAGGTTGCCTTTTCAGGAAATAGCATATTTGAAGGCTCTAAGAAACAAGGAGCAAGCTAATTTTGGAGAATTAAAAGACAGCTATGGCAAATGTACAGAGAATCGGAGGTGGGTAGGAATAACAAAACCCAAGGTTGGAAAGAAGGCAGGTAGGCAGGGACCAGAAAGAATACTTTAAATCAAACTGCATCACAAAGATCACTGTAGCTTTACTGGGGTATAGAAATAAGAGTGGAGGCGGACGACCAGTGGGAAAGCATCTACAGTAATTAAGGTGAGAGATACCTGCTTGGACTAGGGTAGTGATGGCAGGGATTGAGAAAGTAGACAGATATGAGTGGTTCTTGCAAGGCAAATATTAAGGGTAGTGAGGGATGTGTTAAAGATGACTTACAGGTTCTGAGTAGATGATGCTGCTGAAAACTGGGGAAAAAAGTTTGCAGACTAAACTTTCAAATGTGTTTTAGGTTTGAGGCAATTTTGAGATCTCTGAAGGAGATGTTGAGAAGGCAACTGCATATATTAAGCTGGAGTAGAAAGAATGGGTTTGGCTTGTAGTTCCTCCATTAAGAGAAAAGTAAGGGAGGATGGGCAGGGATCTTGAGAACCCATCAGGCTTATGTGGCACACATTCAAAAGTAAGATGCATATATATATATATATATATATCGCATGTGTGTTATGCAGGAAAAAACTTGATACACGCAAAGGCTGAGAAAAAGGGGTAGAAAAAGTTAGATAGGATGGTTTTCTTAATTTGTTTTCCATTCTCATGTGAAAAACTGCTCAAGACAGTTATGGGCCCAAGTTATCTATAAGCTATTGCTGCATTGTAAATGCTCTCTACCTTTTGTCAAAATAGTTTTAATTTATCTGAAATATAAGTTTCAAAATTAGATACTCAGCTGATATTAAACCACTAAGCAATTTTCTTGTAAATATATTCTGAAGCAAAAAACCCACATAGATCTGTTCTTTTCCATTTTAAATGCTTTTTGGTATTTTCACCCTACCTCCTATATAAATTAACCCAACTACACAATTTTAATATTTTTGCACTACTTTGGAGAAATATAAAGAAGATTACCTTTACGATTACATAGCATCATATTAACCAAAATTTTACTAATCTGTAAGTGGTTTTGTTTAAGTCACGGCTAAAATACAAAATGCTAAAAGTTTACCTTTGGGTGGTTTTAGTACATGGTACACTGGATTTTTCACTTTACTGACTTTTTGAAATAAGCTTTGATAAAAATGAAAAGCCAAATAAAGTCCTTATTGAAAAAAAGCATGAGAATCTCTTGTAGTACTTTATTAAAATAATTATACTCCTACCCTGCATTTTTGTGCTTAAATAACTATGATCATAGATTTATTCTTTAATTTAAGCCAGTTGTTGGAATGGTTTTATAATCTTTTATTTCAATTCATTACATACCAGTTAGCAATGTCCTTGTGAGCTACTAAGTTTTGAAGAAAAGCTTGCAATCCTAATTGTCTATCTTCTAAAAAGTCGGCATTGTAATTATCTTTAAACCAGCGTTTTGGAGGAAGTGCTAGTCGAAAACCTGGAAACATCTCTTTTAGCTGAAAAAGAAGAAAAGAGCAAATAAAATGTTTAACTCAATCACTATCAATTCTATGAAATCTATCCTGTTGACTATATGAAATTATTCATGAAATAAGTTTAAAATAAAAAAATAATTAAGTTCAGTTCAGCTCGTTATGTCTTGTTTTATTTCTTGTTTTCTACCAGTTGTGCATACAGAGGAGTTCCAGTCTTTCCAGATCCTTGCCAGAACTTGGCATTGTCTATCTTTTGCATGTTAACCTTTCTGTTGGGGGTATAGAATCATTTCCATTTTGGTTGTAATTTGCATTTTTTTGCTGACAAATGATGTTGAATATCTTCTCATATGCTTATTTGCATTTGCATATCCTCTCCAGTGAATTATGTATTAAATTTTTTAGCACTGTCCCCTTTAAAAAATTAGGTTGCCTTTTTATTAAGAGTTCTTTATATGTTTCAGATACAAGTCCTTTGTCAGATATATGTATTACAAATATTTTCTACCAACTGTGGACTGACTTTTTCAATTTAACAGTCTTAAGGGAGCAGATTTTTTAAAATTTGAATGTTATTTAATTCATCAATTATTTCTTTTATGGTTTGTTTTTTTTTAAGATCATAAGAAATTTTTGCTTACTGAAAGACTGTAAAGATTTTCTTCCATGTTTCTTTCCTAAAAGTTTAGTTTTAACTTTTATATTTTTGTTGTGACTCATTTTGTACATTTGGCTTAAATTTTACTTTCTTAGGGAAGACTTTCCCAATACTGTAAACTAGGTAGTTAAGTCTTCCTTTCCACATTCTGTTCAAGTTACCACAATTGTGTAACAAATTACCTGAAATCTCAGTGATATAAAATAAGCATTTATTAATATTAAACTCACAAATTTTTTAGGTCAATAATTCATATGAAGTACAGTGAAGACGATATATCTCTGATACACAATGAATTTGGGCCTCAGCTGAAAACTTGAAGGTTGGGTGTTGGAACTGTCTGAAGTTTACTTGCTTGCATGTATAGAGGATGATGCTGGCTGCTGGCTGAGAACTTTGCCAAGGCTGCCAGCCACAAACCTAACACTGGCCTCTCCAGGTGTCTTCGACTTTTCTTGCAGCATGGAGGCTGGCTTCAAAAGGGAGGATCCCAAGAAAGCAAGCCAGAATAAAACTGTGTACTTCTTGTAATCTAGGCTTGAAAGTCACACAGCATTATTTCCACTGACCTCTCTTGGGTTGAGCAGTCACAAGCCCATCCAGGTTCAAGGGGAGGGGAAACAGATTCCACCTCTTGATGGGCAGTGCCAAGATTCAGGAAGAATATATGGGACTGATGATACTGCTGTGGCCACTTTTAGAAAAGACAATCTGACACACACTGTCAAATCATGAATTTATTTCTTTAATGACATCATTCACAATGTAAACAGCACATTTAATTTAGGCTTTCTTACTAGACCAGTGATTCTAAACTTTGGCTGCACATTAGAATCGCCTAGGGAGTTTTAAAAGATATTATTGTTTTCCATCTCTGATAGATTAGGATTTAATTTGTTGAAATGAGGCCTGGGCACTGTAATTTTAAAAAGCTTTCCAGGGGAATCCAAAGTGTAATTAAAATTGAGAACCATTTTACTACACTACAATTATTATGCCTTAGTCATAGCTGCATCTTTAATGTCTAGCATAGTGCTTGCAACATAACAGGCAGTTAACAACATATATTCAATAAATGAATGAATGAAATGAATCCACGTACATTTGCATTTCTATACATAAATATAAAATGAGTATCACAACTACAAAGGAAAAATGCACCGGATAAAATGGTAGAAAAATGTAAATTATAACTTTCTGTCTATATTTCTATAAATAAGTGAAGATAATATAAATAAGGTAAAAACTAGAGAGTAACTTAGATAACTAAAAACCTAATTTGATTTCAAATGTAACTAGGTATTTATGACATTGGAGCTTTGTTATTTAATGTATCTGGCAAGAAAATAAAATAACAAAAGTCATGAGAAATAAAAATCGTCCTTTTATTAATCTTAAGCTTTATAATTGAAATGTCATATTGTCCAAATACATGGTTAGATTTTTTTCCCTTAAAAAATTATCCACAGAAAAGAAGAAGTTGTCCCACAATTGGGTAATTCAAAAAAGAGGAAGATAAGGGGTAGAGAAAATAATATCCAAAAAAGGAGAGAAATGAAAACAACTGCCAGAAAGACAGTGAAAGGTAATCTCAGGATGCCACTTATGAACCTCATAAGGAGTGGGCAGATCAGTTTAGAAAAGAGCAGTATGACTCAAGAGACACACATGTAGACTATCACTAAACTTTTTAATGTGAGGACTGAATGCCTGATGAGTCTGCTGCAGGTTTTCATATGAACCTGGAATGTCTTGACAATGAATTGGTAAGGGTCCTGCTCTCTCCCTCCCTAAGCTCTGCTGCCTGAAAGCAACTGAGAACAATAATTTTACCTCACAGAAATGTTCAGCTTTGTACTACTGCTGTGACCTGGAAGTAGAAATATTGAGCTTAAATTTTAAGTAGAATTTAAAGAAAAACTCACTCTCATGGCTATATTTCTACAATCAATGCGTCTCCCAGCCCACCCTAAAACCTTGCTTGGTTGCCCCAACTCTTGATATGCTCTGTGCATTCCAAAACTTGCTCATGACTTTGTCCTCTGACTTCCTCAGCAGAGGCTCTTATTAGTCGCAGAGAAGGTGAAGTCAGACCATAACCCAGGAGATTTAAAAAAAAAAAAAAAAAGAAAATATTAATGTTCTATATGAATGTTCTCTTTATACAGTTATTTTGGCTATGTTCAATAACTTTGGTATTGCCAATTAGCTAATTTTACTTCACAACTATATAACTGGGTAATGCAAATTCCTTAAAGTTAGAATCACATCTATATAGTTTCTACATAAGGGTAACTCCAAATTCCTAGCACAATGCTGAACTCAAACTACTCATTTCATAAATATTTCATGATTGATTTTATTAAATTAAAGATCCTAAGCTTTTATTTTTTACAGTTATATCAATAATGACTACAGTTTAAACCATGTGCCTCTTGGTGTTTGACACACTTTTAAAACATATTGCCAGTGATGGGTTAAGCTTTTTCTGGTACCTAATAACACCAACATGAACATTTACTAATTTTAAATGCCCATCTTGGAGGATCAAAGAGATATTTACTAAATTTAAATTAAACTCCTATCAGCTTTTTACAAAAGGGTTTATCTAAATCTCAGCTTGCCTAAGGAAATACTGCAGCAATAAAAATGAAATCTAAAGCAGTAATAGGAAGTAAACACTAAATAACAGTGGAGTCCGAAAAGAAAAATGGTATCATAAAGCATTAAATAGCTCTACAATGAAACTGTTTGAAATCAGTCTGCATGATCAAAATTGTAACAATTTCCTTAAAAGCTAAGTATTCTACTTAATTTTCAGGTAACTTCATGAATTGCTTTTATCTTTGTTTAGTCATTTAAAAAAATCAATAGAAGTACAGAATTGCAGATTTTAAATTCAGTATAATATATGAAGCTCAGGAACAGTAGATAAAATTCATATATAATTGTAGGCATACATTAGAAATAACACTTTATTTTGGCATATTGCAAGAGAGCATCTTAACCAAATCTTAAAATGGATAAAATAATTTATCATTCTATATTTTACCTTTCCATTTAAACTGAGGTTTTTAAGAGTGGCGGAAAAAAATTTGGCAGGTAAATAACTACAAAGTTACAAGGGTTTCCCGTCACCAAACACTACAAAAATATACTAACTTCAAAGTTTCAAGGAGTCCAAAGAGGGAAGAAAGGAAAGGACCAGTAAAGCTTCCTTATTAAACACCTGTCAAAATTGGAGAGTAATCTCTGCATGTTCTTAGTTGGCTTCTCAAAAGCATCATAAACTGCTTGATGCTTTTAGATAAATGATTTTTCTCTTGGCTTCCAAAATATCACACCCTCTGCCTCCCTCCCTATCTAAATTCCCTCTAGGTCTGGGGACAAGGCAGCTCTTTCTTTGCTATTATATTCTAATAACGATTTATTTAATTCTTCATTTTTAGAAAATTTAGGTTGCTTCCAACTTTTAACTACTAAAAACCATCTGATTTCCTCGAGCTCTGGGGACAGCTCAGCTCTTCTTTCTTTTTTTGCTATTATATTCTAATAATAATTTACTTAATTCTTCACTTTCAGAAATTTAAGTTGCTTCCAATTTTTAATTCCTAAAAACAAAGTAAAACACAGATAAACAAAACAATATACAAAACACTGTGGTAAGTGTCCTTAAAGCTAAATCTTTCCCATGTTTATTATTACTCATATAGGATAAATCCTAGAAATGTGATTATTATATCAAACTATGCAAAACTTTTGGGTGTCCTGTAGGAAGATTCAATCTTCCAATACCAGATAATAGCATTTAAATATCTGTCAGCTTGATAGGTGAAAAACTGTGTCATTATTTTCTTTTTTTGGAGTATCTGTGATAGTAAGTGTTTTCCAGGTATACTGGTCATTTATATTTCTTCTGTGAATTACCCTGCTTGTTGTTCGTTGCATTTTTTACTTGGGGTTCAATTTCCTAATTTAGTTTTAAGAGTTCTTAATACATAGAAGTTTATTATTATTCTCTTGTATGCACAGTTGAGCGAATTCTAGATGGTCCACAACCTTTGCCTCTTGAGTTACTTCTGTGATTTTATTATGTTACATAGAAAAAGGGATTTTGCAGCTGTAATTAAGGTTACTAATCAACTGACCTTAAGATAGGAAGATTACGTGGGTGAGCCTTATCTTATAACATGACTCCTGTAGACTGTTTTCTCTAGCTGGTGGCAGAAGAGAAAGTTAGAGAGCTTCAAAGCACAGGAAGAACTTGGCTCACTATTGCTGGCTTTGAAGATGGAGGGGCTACGTATAAGGACTGGCAAACAGTCTCTATGAAGTATGAATGATTTCTGGCTGACAATCAGCCAGGAAACAGAAACGTTGGCCCTACCACTTCAAGAAACTAAATTCTGCCAGCAACCTGAATAAGCTTGGAAGATAATTCTTCCCCAGGGCCTCCAGATAAGTGCCCAACCCAGCTGACAGCTTGATGTTGACCTTGCTTGATGCTAAGCAACAAACCCAGCTGAACCCACCCAAACCACTAAATAATAAACAGGTTTAGCAACAAAGTTTGTGGTAAATTATTATGCAGTAAGAGGAAATTAATACAATATGTTAAACATGTTTTTACTCATTATCTTATAGACATATATAATTTTATAATAAGTCAAGAGAGAACTGGGCACAGTGGCTCATGCCTGTAATCCCAGCACTTTGGGAAGCTGAGGTGGGCAGATCACCTGAGGTCAGGAGTTTGAGACCAGCCTGACCAATATGGTGAAACCCTGTCTTTAAAAAAAAAAAAAAAAAAAAGTCAAAAGATCTTATTATATACATCTTTTTGAAACTCACAAGATATTTATATTCCTCTTGGCAATTTTAAAGTTTCATATTTTTATACTAAAATTTTTTAATAAAAATTTTATTTTTTAAATTTTCTATTAAAAATTTAATTTTTTATGAATTAGAAAGGATTTGATTGACTCAATAAAGAAGAAAAAATATAACAGAAGTATAGGAAATTAAAAAATAATTCAAAACTGAAATGTTAGTTTGGATGTATTATAGTACTTACTTTGTCATTAAGCCTGGAGAAGTCAGTGTATCTTCTGAAAACTACCCAGCTTTCTTCTGGGGTTTTCTTTACTAGTATTTTATACACCTATGCACAGGAAGAAAAAGAGACAGAAATATAAAAGTAAAGATACTTAAAAATTCAAGCCAAATATTTTTAAAACTTTTACTTGATAACTCAGACTATAACAATTATTATGTAAAAAAATATCAAAAATCATTTAAATCATCAAAAGTACAAATAATCAATGCAGGCACCAAAAGACAGATTTTTTCCTTAGGAAATATAACAGATTTGAGACAAATGTTTTTTCTGTGCACACTAACAATAAACTCATCAGCTTCCAAAACATGATTTATGTCAACATATTCTAAAATTGATAACGGAATTATACTTGAAGAAGCTATGAAAAATAGCCACTTTTGTTCTATACAATTTTTTTTTTTTTTTGGGACGGAGTTTTGCTCTTGTTACGCAGGCTGGAGTGCAATGGTGTGATCTCAGCTTACCACAACCTCTGCCTCCCAGGTTCAAGCTATTCTCCTGCCTCAGCCTGCCAAGTGTCTGGGATTACAAGCATGCACCACCATGCCTGGCTAATTTGGTATTTTTAGTAGAGAAGGGGTTTCTCCATGTTTGTCAGACTGGTCTCAAACTCCCGACCTCAGATGATTCACCCGCCTCGGCCTCCCAAAGTGCTGGGATTACAGGTGTGAGCCACCGCACCCTGCCTGTTCTACACAATTTTAAAACTTAATAACTATTGAGCAAAGTTTTCAAATAAGTTCAATATTTTTATTGTCAAGAATAAAATATGGAAGTTCTAGCCAGAGCAATCATGCAAGAGATAAATTAAAAGGCAACCAAATAGGAAAAGAAGAAGTCAAACTATATGATTCTATGCCTAGAAAACCCTAAAGACTCTGCCAAAAGGCTCCTGGAATTGATAAAGGACTTCAGTAAAGTTTTAGGATATAAAATCAAGGTTTAAAAATCAATAGCACTTTCATACACCAATAACATTCAAGCTGAGAGCTGAATCAAGAATGCAATCCTATATACAGTAGCCACACACGCACACAAATATCTAGGAATACCTCTAATTAAGGAGAGAAAGATCTCTACAAGGAGAACTACAAAATATTGCTGAAAGAAATCACAGACAACATAAAAAACCAGAAGAACATTCCATGCTCATGGATTGGAAAAATCAATATTGTTAAAACGGCCACATTGCCCAAAGCATTCTACAGATTCAACAGTATTCCTATCAAACTACTAATATCATTCTCCACAGAATTAGAAAAAACTACTCTAAAATCCACATGGCACCAAAAAAAAAAAAAAAGAAAAAAAGCCCAAATAGCCAAAGCAATCCTAAATGGAAAGAACAAGGCTGGAGGCATCACACTACCTGACTTCAAACTATACTGTAAGGCTACAATAACCAAAACAGATGGTACTGGTATAAACATATAAACCAATGGAAGAGAACAGAGAACTGAGAAATAAAACTGGGTATCTACAGCCATCTGATCTCTGACAAAGTTGACAAAAATAAGCAACAGGTAAAGCATCCCCTGTTTAATAAATGAGGCTGGGATAATTGGCTCTCTATATGCAGAAAAATGAAACTGGAGCTCTCTCTTTCACTACATATAAAAATTAACTTAAGATGGATTAAAGATTTAAAGGTAAGGCCAGAAACCATAAGAATCCCAGAAGAAAACCTAGAAAACACAATTCTGGATACTGGCCTTGGGAAAGAATTTATGACTAAGTTCTCAAAAGCAGTTGCAATAAAAACAAAAATTGATAAGTGAGACCTAATTAAAATAGTTTCTGCACAGCAAAAGAAACTATCAATGGAGTAAAGAGTCAACCTACAGGATGGGAGAAAATATTTGCAAATTATGCATCTGGCAAAGGTCTAATATCCAGAATCCATAAGGAACGCAAACAATTCAAGGCTGGGTGCAGTGGCTCATGCCTGTAATCTCAGTTCTTTGGGAGACCGAGGTGGGTGGATCACTTGAGGTCAGGGGTTCAAGACCAGCCTGGCCAAAACAGTATGGTGAAACCTTGCCTCTACTAAAAACACAAAAATGAGACAAATGTGGTGGTGGATTCCTGTAATCCCAGCTAACCAGGAGGCTGAGATGAGAGAGTTGCTTGAACCTGGGAGGCAGAGGTTGCAGTGAGCCGAGATCATGCCACTGCACTCCAGCAGGGGACAGAGTGAGACTCTGTCTCAACAACAACAAAAAGGAACTTAAACAATTCAACAAATAGCCCCACTAAAAGTAGGCAAAAGACATGAACAGGTACTTCTTAAAAGAAGACATACAAGCAGCCAAGAAACATAAAAAATGCTCAACAACACTATTCATCAGAAAAATGTAAGTCAAAACCACAATAAGATACCATCTCACAGAAGTCAGAATGGCTATTGGTCATTATCACAACAGATGCTGGTGAGGGTATGGAGAAAAAAGAACACTTATACACTACTGGCAGAATTGTAACTTAGTTCAGCCACTGTGGAAGGCAGTTTGGAGATTTCTCAAATAACAAAACAGAACTCCCATTTGACACAGCAATTCCATTCCTGGGTATATATCCAAAAGAAAATAAATTGTTCTACCAAAAGACACATGCACTTGCATGTTCAGTGCAGCAACTACTCACAATAGCAAAGACATGGAATCATCCTAGGTGTCTACCAAGGATGGATTTGTGTGGAATATTATGTGGCCATAAAAAAGAATGAAATCATGTTCTTTGCAGTAACATGTATGGAGCTATAGGCCATTGTCCTAAGCAAATTAATGCAGGGACAGAAAACCAAATACCTAATGTTCTCACTTATAAGTGGGTGGTAAACATTGGGTACTCATGGACATAAGGATAGCAACAATAGACACTGAGGACTCTTAGTGGGGGAGGCTGAGAAAGGGGAAGAGTTGAAAAACTGTTGGGTGCTATGTTCACTACTTGGGTGATGAGTTCATGAGTATCCCGAATCTCAGTATCATGCAATATACCAATGTAACAAACCTGCACATGTATCCCTTGAATCTAAAATTAAAGTTGAAATCATTTTTTTAAATGACAAAATATAAGCTTTAAATACCAAAAAATCCCAATTGAATTACATTTTGTAATTATGTACAATTATGTAGGCTACTGAATAGAAAAACTTGGTTGAAGCAAGTCAATATATTTTAAAAGCACATAAGAAAAAAGTGGATTCTATTTTTTTCTAAATATAATTTTAGAATGTATTATGAAAAAGTGTTATTTATGACAGAATTTCAGAGAAACATCTAGCAGTTTTTGACATAGTATTTTGCACTAAGCTAGATATAAGGCACAAATGCGATAATATCTGCTGCATAAGAAACTCTCTTTACAAAGTAACTTCTTTTCTGGATGTTCGCTGTGCAATAATTTTCAACTGGAGCTCTAGAGCTGCACTTTCGGTCACATGTGGCAAATGAGCATTCAATGTGTGACTAGTCAAAACTGAGATATGCTGTGAGTGCAACATACACACTGAATTTCAAAGATTTAATGTGAAAAAAGATGTAAATGGCTTTTATTAAAATAGTCTAATACTAACTACATGTTAAAATGATAATATTTTGGACATTTTAGGTTGAATAAGATATACTAATAAAACAATCTCACTTATTTCTTTTTTATTAATGTGGCTTCTAGGAAATTTAAAATTATAGATGTGATTCATAATTATGGCTCACATTATATTTCTATTGGACAGTACTCCTCTAAAGACAACTCATTAGTTAGGGACTATAGATTATCCTTACCCTTTGACTTTTCTCCCATACAAACTTCTCTTTCAACTTTTAAGAGGGAAGAAAAAGGAAGAGTTAAGGATAAATCCTTTAGCTTTGAAGGAAAAAGTAAGCAATTTCTCTCTATAACATATAAAGGTGGGAAACAAGGTCAGCAGAAGGTCCTGAGCTAAGAAAGTTGAAATGGAGATACAAAAGAAATTCTTTTTAGGAGTCACTCACTAAAAGAAGAGATAAATTGACTTTAAAACTTGTGAGTATGAATGACTGATACAGGATAAAAATGCACTTCATATAATAATTGTTTATCTACAAATAATACATACTGAATTTAGTTTCTTGTTTTAGAAAATGAACTCCCCGTTCTAACTAAGCTACTTTCCATGGTGGCCTGAATACCTCTGAATACCTTTGTTTCTGTAGACAAGATAAAGTACAGACTTTTGTGTTTTATCTCTTCTAGAAAATGCTCCTTCTACTTAAGTAGCGCTTTCAGTGAAAACTTTATGAACAGTACTGATCATTCCCTTCTCTATGTTCCAACAACCATTGTTCTTTCTACACTTTACTTGAAACTTCATATATATTTCTTTGTACTGTTTTTATTTATGTAGTCTTTGTTTTTGAATTATAAAAGATATACAAAAAAGTGTGCAATTCATAAGTATACAACTTGACAAATTTTCACAAAATGAACACACCTATGTAACTAGTACCATGAGTGTATTAGCCCATTTTCATATGGCTGATAAAGACATACCTGAGACTGAGCAATTTATAAATAAAGGGGTTTACTGGAATTATAGTTCCATGTGGCTGGGGAGGCCTCATAATCATGGTGGAAAGTGAAAGGCACATCTCACATAGCAGCAGAGGCAGCAGAAAAAAGAAGAGAGCTTGTGTAGAGAGACTCCCATTTTTAAAACCATCAGATCTCCTGAGACTTATTCACTATCACAAATACAGCACAGGAAAGATCTGCCCCCATTGTTCAATTACCTCCCACTGGTTCCCTCCCACAACACGTGGGAATTCAAGATGAGGTCTGGGTGGGGACACAGCCAAAACATATCATTCTGCCCCGCTCCCTCCCAAATCTCATGTCCTCAGATTTCAAAGCCAATCATGCCTTCCCAATAGTCCCCCAAAGTCTTATTTCAGCATTAACTCAAAAATCCACAGTCTTATACGAGACAAGGAAAATCCCTTCTACCTTTGACCCTATAAAATCAAAAGCAAGCTAGTCTGTTCCTAGATACAATGAGGATA